GTTTGAGGATCTGTTCCTCAGGGGTCACATGGGCTTGGGAGGAGCCCATGGCTCCTTTCTTTTACCAGTTCTGCCTATGTGAAGATAAGTCAAAGGTGTAAGTTATTTAATTTAAAAAAATTTTATTTTATATGTATGAGTGTATTGCCACCATGTAGGTTCTGGGATTCAAACCCAGGTCCTCTGCGAAAGCGTCCATTGCTCATAACCACTGAACCACCTCTCCAGGCCAAGTTACTTAATTCCAAAATGTAATTTGTGCTATACCCATTCCTTTAAGGTATGGAAAGTAATACAGACTTTATTTGTTATTATTTCTGCCTCTCATTCATTATTCAAATGCATATAGCTTATTCAAAAACATACAACTTTCTTGTTCAATTTCATTTTTATTGCTGTCTGAGGTAGGGTCTTGATATGTAGCCCAGGCTGACCTTCCTTTTTTAACCTCCTCAGTGCTGGGATTATAGGATTGCTACCACTATGGCCAGTTCTACCTAAATCCTTAATAAATATCTTTAGTGTACTATTACAAATTATTTTCTTCCTTAATTTTGATATTACTTTAAAATAAACTATTATTACTATTTTGGTTCTTATTAATTTTCAACACAGATGTTGGTTCTTTTCAACACCAATTGACATGTATGAGTACATCCAAGTATACTACAGAAATTTAAGTTTCTTAGAATATGTTGCAATATTTATTGGTAGGATATTTTAGTCTTTTTAATTTTTTGTGATGGGAACTATGATCTAGAGCCACTAATTTGTTGCCAAATTTCATGTTATTGAATACAATAACTTAAAATTGAACATAATAATTTAATAGATCCAGTTTTGATAAAATGATACCACAGAATAATTTCATTAGTGCGTAATACTATATTCTAGAGTAACCTTGATAATGTAATTTATGACAAGAACAGAAAGTTTGCTTGCTGTAAATAATTTCAAAGTACACTCAAGCCATGGACCCTTCATATACATAAATCCACAGAGTTTTGCTCGGGTGTTACAATTTGATGACACTTGTTCACATGTACACAGTATATTTATGAACCATAACTGGTATTATATATTAAGAATAATGATGATAGGTGAGTGTAAGGTCCTGTTTGAAAATTTTGGAGTTTTCAATAAAATTGTTCCTTTTGTATTTGGGACAAGAGAAAAAAATTCTGTACCATGCAGCTTATCCACTTCCGCTTCAAGCACAACCATGGATGTTAGAAGCAAGACCACTCTCTTAAAAAAAAAAGAAAGGAAAAAGAAAAAAGAACCATTGTCTGTCTCCAAGCTATTTCTGAAAGCTTAACTGCAATATAGAGATCAGAATGTAATTGCTCATTATTCACGTACGCATCCAAACATAGGGGAGGCAAAAGTTTCCCTCTAGCCCCTTCTGACTTGTCTGCTGGGTATTTAAATTTAACTGCTCAACAGATGAGAAGCATTCACATTAATCTAGACTGAACTGTGGGTGGCATGGGATCCTTCATAAGAAGTGTTGATCCAGTGACTCAGTTAGAATTGAATACTTAATACTGAACTGAACGAAGAGTAGCTTCTATGCTTCTGTTTCAGAGAGACTGAAGAGGCAAGGTTATTGCCAAGTGATGATGGAAATGGCAGTATTTAATAAAACATGATGTGCTCTCAGCTTAGTAACTTGTGTAATAAAAGACAGCAGTGTTGCAGTTAGGCAGATTGGGTTAGGAGGCACACTCTGCTACATACAAGTTTTGCGTGTTCTTTGATAGGTCCCTTCATCTCTTTATATCTCCATTTTCAATGCTTTGTTGTTAGCCTCAGCCTTTGACGGCTGCGCTATTCCCCCAGCCCAATATTTCTCCATTTTTCGTCTGTAACACAGGTATAATAAAGTTGGCACAGGGGTTGGTATAATAGGTATAATAACTTCTTCATGGGGTTGTTATAACAAATGTATTATTTTACTCAAGGAGCTTACAATTGCATCTGACAATAGTAACAATAATATAAATGTTTCTTATTATTTGTCTGATGGATTTCATTTAGCATAGACTGTCACTTTCTAAATCCTTGTTTCACCAGTGTGCCAATTTGTTTATTTTTCACTGATCAACCTTGCTCTATTTATGTTTTCATTTTTGTTTTGGCACAGGGGATGACCCCAGAGTGGCACACATGCCAGGAAAGTTCTCTACCACTAAGTAGAGCAAAGTGCTTCACCACTAAGTAGAGCCCCATCCTCTTTTACTCTTTGCTTTGTGATAGGATCTCACCAAGGTGCTCAGGCTGGCTTTGAACTCATTCTGTAAATTAGGCTAGACTTCAACTTCTGATCCTCCTGCCTCAGCTTCCCTACTAGCTGGGATTATAGATAAGCCTGTGCCACTAGGCCCGGCGTCACACTTCTTTTTAATACTAGTGTTATAAAGATTTTTTTAAAAGAAAAACTTTTGTCTCATATTTTAAACTTAAAAACCTTATTATATGTCTCCAACCTGTGGTTTGCTCTAATATGCTATATGGTTAGTGCAGTGATGAAACTTAGCAGCTACTTCAGATGTAGTGTTTCAGTAACAAGTTGCAGTGCTGAGATGAAACGTGTGTGAGTTTTTCCTAGCAGTCCTGTGGAAAGTCTCACATTCCTGACATTGTGGCATTCATGTGACATAAACTTAAGGCTTGCTTGCTTTTCCTTCTTTCGGTGACATTGTACTTAGTCTTCACAGGAGAATTTGATCTGCAGCCATTTGATTAGTTGCTCAGATCTGAGAGTCTAAATGGTTACAACCTGAGCCAGGTCAAGCCCCAAGGCCCCAAGGCTCCAGATCTTGGAGACATTTCTCCACTTTGTAAAGGCCACAACACATGCGGTTTTATGGTTTCTAGAAAGAAGTAATCATGTTACCAATTGTTGGAGATGAGAAGTTTTGCCTCTTTCTTGCCAAAAGAACAGTTTTTGAGGATGGTAAAAACTTTTTTTATTCATCTTTTAGGAGAGTTTGGCAAAGGTAGAGATAGTTGTGTCCTGTTTATAAACAGAGAAAATCCAGTATTTTACTTTTGCCTGTAGCGTGTCTATCATATGAAGATTTTTCATGAGTTTACATTGCAGTGTTACAGGGAAAAGGTCTTGGTAGGGAAACTTAATTAAAGTTCACTGCAAGGTAGTTAATTGGTAATATGGGAATCTAGAGCACTAATATACTACAGAATAGAATTCTTAAAGGTGGGCTTAAGAAAAGCCCACAGGTATATGTCATTGCTATAGTCTGAATGCGAAATGTTCTGCTTAGGCTTCTGTGTTTGGACAGTCCTGTTTTGGAAGGTTGTGGAACATTTAGGAGGTGGAGTCTTGCTGAAGAAAGTGGGTTGTGTTTAAGGTTATAACCATTGTTACTTCCTGTTTGCTCTCTGCTTCCTGACTGTGGTTATAATGAGACTAACCACCCATGTTCCTGCTGCCATGCCTTTCCCCTACTCCATCCCTTAAGTTGCTTCTTATCAGACGTTTGTTTACAGCTGTGGGAAAAGCAACTATCACAGTCAAGGTTGATAGAAATACTGACTTTTATTTATGATATTTTCAAGACATTCATTTGTTTTCAGATTCAGATTACATGATGTAGAAGGGTGTGCTTTAGAAGCTTGTAAATTCCTGATAGACAAGGAGGAGGAAAAAAGGCCTCCCAAAGCTGACAAAGAAGCCCACGAAATGGCTGCCAAACTTCGGAAAGTTGGAAAATCCTTGGAGAAACAAAAGATAATGTAAGTATTTCACTGAACAAATTGGTCACCTCAGGGTTAGCACACTCTCCAACGTCCTAGCAGAAAACATTGCCTATGCTTGATAAAGAAGTTCTAATTATTGCTTGAATTTTTTTTTTTCAAATCTGAGAGAAATGGGGGAAGGTAAGTGACCAGCATCATGTGTTCCTTAGCTGCATAGATCAGTTTCATTTGTGATTGCTAGAAGCAAGTCCAGGTTCCAAGAGTCTGTGTAGATTGCAGAACTTGATGTAATCATCTGGAGAAATAAGCACATCTGTGACACAGGTGTGGACTCATCCCACAGAAGGCTCATGCACTTTGTTTTGGCTCATGACATAATACGTTAGTGACTCACAGTATGAGCTTGGGATTGGACTGCAATGCCAGTTTGACTCTTGGAAGGACTCTGCTGTTGTGATTCCTCTTCTTTACTCTCAGTGTGTAATTCTACCAACTCTAGGGCCAAATTGTTTCCTTCCCGTGGTCCTCTCTCTCTTTAATTGCTGCCTGGGTTGGAAATGCAGTAGTCTTCTCCGGATAATTGAAGAGGTCTTTATGGAGTTGAGATCCTCCGAGTTCACCATTTTCCAATCTAGCTAATGCTTTTTAATAAACTTACATTTGTAAAATCACCCCAGTCTCAATATTCTCCATAAAAATAAAAAAAAAAAAACCTTAGAAAGGGCCTCACTAGGTAGCCCTGACTGCCCTGGAACTCACTACATAGACTGGGTGCTTCAAACTCACAGAGATCTACCTGCCTCTGCCTCTGAGTGCTGGGACTAAAGCGTGCACCACTGTGCCAGAAACCACATTCTCCTTTCTTCCTTCACTGATGAAATCTAAGTCCTTGCTATTGCTCGTCTGCCAACAAGCTTTGGTCTTTGTTTTCACCTTTCAGTCTCGTTTCCTTTATTCCCCTCTTGCCACAGTCATGGCTGTCCTCACGGCACTCGGTCCTCTTCTTTCACAACCTTTTCCCTTTGTTGCTCTCCTGGTTTTTGTCATCTGCTCTCTGACTCTTGTGCTGCTTCCTCAGCTTAACATGCTTTCTCTTGTGTGTCCTACTTGTTTAGTAGAAGATCAGTTATATTGTATGTCTGATTTTTCTTTGGTATATGCATATTGAGGAGGCATTATCTCAAAATCTAATATCCAAAATGATCTAAAATCTGAAACTTTGGGGTACTCACACTATAAGGGAAAATTTCACAGGATAAATCTTGTTTCATGTATAAAATTTTTTAAAATACTATATGAAATGGCCTTCAGGCTATGTGTGGAAGGTAGTACATATAAAACATAAATGTTTAGACTTGGGTCTCATATCAAAGTACCTTATTATGTATAGGTCAATAGTCCACAATCCCCCAAATAAAAATCTGTCTCAAGAAGTGTAGATAAGGGACACTAAATCTTAATTTTCCCCCTAAATTCTAAGTCTCTTTGCAAAGGAAGTGTATTTCCCTTTTGCATTCCATAGCTTAGTGGATGAAAATTGGTCCAGAGAATTTAAAAAGAATATTTTATTTAGTATTTTAATTTTATGTGTATTAGTGTATTTCCTGCATATATGTAAGTGCACCTGTGTTGTGCCTGTGGAGGTCAGAAGAAGGCATTGGATTCTCCTGAAACTGGAGTTACAGATGGTTGTTAGCTGCAATGTGGGTGCTGGGAATTGAACCCAGGTCCTCTGCAAGAGTAATCAGTGCTCTTAACCACTGAATCATCTCTCCAGCCCCTGTTCCAGAGATTTTTAAAATATCTTTTTATTGATTCTCTGAGAATTTCATGCAATGGCAATATATTTTGATCATAGTCACCCTCTGTCCTCCATCCACAACCCACCCTACTACCCCCCAACTTTATATCCTCCATTACTATTGGTTTATTTAAAAGGCTTATTGAATCTAATTTATGTTCCCCAGTGCCCTGCAATGTCCATCCTCTGCAGCCTGGTTAATCTATCTAGCACCACGCCCTTAAAGAAAACTGAGTAACCAATATGAAAGTTGGTACCAAAAGAGTAGGGTGTTGTAGTGAAGAACCTGACCATGTAGGTTTAGAGAGGAAATGTAGAAGACTTAGGAAAACGATTGAATGCTATAGGCAGAGTTTAACAGGTCATTCTATTAGCTGCCCAGAAGAAATTAGGGCTGAGAGCAAAGCAGATTACTTTGGAAATAAGGACTTAAACAACCACGTGGCTGTTTTGACAAAGAATCTGGCTGTTGTCTGCACACAGCCTAAGAACTGCCTTAGGCAAAGGTGAAAAGCAATGGACTAATTTCTTTGGTGGAGGAAATTTCAAGACAGCCTAACAATGAATCAGTGGCATGGTTATGAATGGTAAATATCATAGAGATATACAATAAAAAGGAGCAAGTCAGGCAGAAAGACATGCAGAATGTACAGTTTGGATTAAAAAAGAGCACTAGGAAGATTGATGTTGGAGCCAAGGCATGTGCTGAAGGAGAGGACTCTCTTTGATAAGGAGATTAGAGTCATTAGATTTGCAGTTAAACAATGAAAATAGTATCTTCAGGAAAAGACCACACCCAGCTAAGCCTCCAATTTGTGAAAGGAAAATGGTGGAGGTGTTTTCTGCTCCTAGAGAACACAGCATAGAAAAGCTGCTAATATGGATGAAAAAAGCCAGGGTTCATTGAAGGCTGGCAGCTTAACTTGGCATGTGATACTTACTGGCTTGAAAAGCATAACCTGCCCACACAAGAATGAAGGAGCCATCAGTTATTCCTCCACAGTTTCAGAGAATCACAGAGACCAGGCAGCCTGTACAGCCTGAAGCAGGGCCTGAATAAAGAAGGCCTTGACAGTCCAAGGGGCCCTGACAGGCCATTGTGTGACACTTTGAAGGTGAAGGCTGATTGGCAATGTAAACCCCAAGATGGTAGAGATGCTAGAACTTTGAGACATTTGCAAAGTACAGCTGTAAACAGAGAGTGGTACCAGCTCAAGAGAGAGATGGATGTTGCTCATAGCAAAGCTGGAGGGGCTGAGTCATCTAAACTCTTCGGAAATAAAGTTCCAGAAGTTGGACATGATTGGATTTGGATTTGTTGTTTTCTCTGTTGGGTTTCAGTCTTGTTTTGGTCCAGTATTTCCTCACTACGCCCCCATTCCTAAGCCAGGATTCATCACAGGCTGGCAGCTAAACTTGGTAGTGTTGTTCATGTGATACTGGCTTTAAAAGCATAACCCCCCCCACAAGAATGAAGGAGCCATCAGTTATTCCTCCACAGTTTCAGAGAATCACAGAGACCAGGCAGCCTGTACAGCCTGAAGCAGGGCCTGAATAAAGAAGGCCTTGACAGTCCAAGAGGCCCTGACAGGCCATTGTGTGACACTTTGAAGGTGAAGGCTGGTTGGCAATGGAAACCCCAAGATGGTAGAGATGCTAGAACTTTGAGACATTTGCCAAGTACAGCTGCAAACAGAGAGTGGTACCAGCTCAAGAGAGAGATGGATGTTGCTCACAGCAAAGCTGGAGGGGCTGAGTCATCTAAACTCTTCGGAAGTAAAGTTCCAGAAGTTGGACATGATTGTATTTGGATTTGTTGTTTTCTCTATTGGGTTTCAGTCTTGTTTTGGTCCAGTATTTCCTCACTACGCCCCCATTCCTCCTTTTTGGAATGGGAATGTGTACTGGGTTCCATTGTGTGTTGGGAATATATGATTTATCTTTTGATTTTACGGGGGCTTATAGTTAAGAGTTTGCCTTGAGTCCCAGAAAAGAGTTTGGACTCTGGAATTTTGAATAGTGTTGAGACCATTAGAGACTATGGCAACTTTTGGTGTTGGACTAAATGCATTTTGCCTTTTATATGTTCATAAGCCTATGGGGGTTAGGGAGTGGAATATGATGGTTTGAACGAGAATGCCCCCATAGGTGCCAAGAATTTGGACTTTTAGTTCCCAGTTTGTGCTGCTATTTTGGTAGGTTTTAGGGGGTTCAGCCTTTCTGGAGGTAGCAGATCACTGGGTATGGGCTTTGAGAGGTCTTAAGCCTTGCCAGATTTCCAGTCTCTCTCTACTTCTGGTGCCTGCTTGTAGATGTGATCTCTTGGCTTTCTGATCTAGCCACCTCTGCTGCCACACCTTCCCCACCATTATGGATTCTAACCCCTGAACCATAAAGCCAAATAAACCTTTCCTTCTATAAATTCCTTTTGTCATGGTATTTTATCACAGCAATAGAAATGTAACTAATACAGATAGGAACATCACAGAAAAAGAAATGCATTCACAGTGGAATTATCTCCAGGACTCAAATGTTCCAGAGGCTGAAGTGTAGGTATATTAGGGATAGGAGACTAAAGTCATAATATGGATGTGTGTGGCATGAAAATCTGGTTGGCATGCATGATTTGGGATGCCTGGGCTTTCCTGTGGTAGCTGGATGATGATATTGAGTTCCTAAAATTTCTTATTCTTATTAAGAGATGAAAAAAGCCAGAAACCTTCCAGAAGACTGGATCAACAAATATTACATGCAGCTGAATATAATTATCTGGTGAAAAGTTTAAAGAAGAACCTGGAGATGCCTCAGGACTGCACGTATGCTGACCAGAAAGCTATAGACGATGAGGTCAGCACCCAGAAGGAACCAGTGCTCCAAGAGATTATGCCATCCATCAGGAAAGACCACACACACACACAGACACACACACACACACACACACACACACACACATTCACATATATATATACACACATGTGCACACACATACATATATATGCACACACATAGGCACACATATATACATATCTACACACATATATACATACCTACACACATTTACACATACACATATGTATATACACACATGTGAACACATCTATACATATATACATATGCACACATACATACACACATATAGTCTGAATTCTAGACTTCAATGCCGTATGTCTCATTGAAAATTTGGATCCATGTAGACTAATATACTTTGGTATTGGCAGAATTCCTTAAACTCAGAGACTTTCTATACTGCAGCTAAAACATTCCACCAAAGAGTCATTGGGATGTTTAAAAGTGATTTGCCATTTTGTCTTTGAAAACTTCTTTAGATTATTCCTATCTACTGTAGATATATTTGAAAATACGGTTGGTTCCAATAAAAGCAATGCCATCATTCAAATTTCTCTGCCCTTCTAGCTTTGGTCCCATTTACCTATGGCTACACAATACACACACATACATATATACCTTCTGGGATTTTATATATATATATGTATATATTTATGTACAAAATTATTTCCCAAATGTATTGTGAAGAATATTAGTTCTTAGGTATTCTGATTTTTCTTTTTTTAGGTTTACAGTTGAATTATTACAGTTATACAATATTGTGCTCAGTATAAACCCTATAAGACATAAATTAAATGATGTTTTAACCTTTAAAAAGATCTCCATTTCATTATTAAAATACACAGTTTCATACAGAAAAATTCTTTTTCAATGCAACTGACATTGGATGTTTGCACGAACACGGGTATTTTTAAGGCCATTTATGTGTAATTCACAGTGGAAAGTAAGCATTCCTCAGCTATGTAGGGTAGAGGCTCTGCTTTGCTTTCTGGTGAGAACTTTTAAGACTCCAGTCACTTGACCTTGTTTAGGCAAGAACAGGCCATACCCTCATATTCCTCTTGGGGTTTTATGTACTGCTTTGCCAGAGTTTTCTACCCCAGGGTTGAGGTGAGACTGACTTAGTCCATGCCAAGAACTGGGAAGATCTTCTGGTGGTGACTATTGATGTCACTTTATGTTCTTTATCATAATGTAGAATAAATGCCTAACCGTGACTTCATTTAGCCAAACATTACATAGCATGCACACTCTTTTCATTTAAACATTTTTGATTGATTTAAAATTATTTAAGA